GAACAGTAGGTTGTTGGCCTACCTAATATGGTTCCCTCTGGTTTTCTAACCCTTCCACCAAGGTTTCCCCATTTAAGGTGCCTCCATTTTTCCCATTTCTCCCTTAATAATACCCTTCTCCTAAGTTTCCACCTCTCTTGAGCTCCTTCTTTCCCTTTTTCTCCTAGGTTCCTTGTATAACCTTCCCTCCCCCTCCCTTTAAAATAACCCCATTATTACCCATATCTCTCTCATTAACACCTGTTTCCTACTGTTCTTCTCTTTCAGAATCTTTCTTTTCCTTCACTTCCCTGGTTCCTTTTCATCATCCTGGTTCCTGTAGTTATGTCTGGATACATATATACTTATAAGGATTTGGTGTAGGTTCCACATAGGAGAGAGAACATACATCATTTTTTTTCTGAGTCTGTGTTACTTCACATAGTATAATGGTTTCTAGTTCCATCCATTTACCTGCAAATTTCATGATTTCATTTTTCTTTACCACTGAGTAGAACTCCATTGTATAAATGAATCATATTTTCATTATCCACTCATCAGTTGAGGGACACTTAGGTTGGTTACATCTCTTAGCTATTGTGAAAAGAGCAGCAACAAACATGGATGTACAAGTGCCTCTACAATAGGATGAGTCCTTTGGGAATATGCCAAGGAGTGGTATAACTGGGTCATACGGTAGGTTCATTTTGGTTTTTTAAGAGTTCTCCACACTGCTTTCTATATGGGTTGCACACGTTTGCAATCCCACCAGCAGTGGATGAGTGTTCCCCTTTCCCCACATCCTCTCCAACATTTGGTATCGTTTGTTCTCTTGATCTTTGCCAGTCTGACTTGTGTAAGATGAAATCTTAAAGTGGTTTTAATTGCATTTCTCTAATTACTAAAGATGTTGAACAACTTTTTTCTTTCTTCCTTTTTTATTTTCCTTTTAACATTCTGTGACCCACTTCAGTGCCAGCAGCCTATGGGCAGAGGTCAGGCAATAGTGTAAAGCCACAGTTTGTTGTAGCACAGGACATTCATAGAGGCCCAGGGTAACAATGAACATTCTTTAAGATGCTTCTTAGCCATCTTTATTTCTTCTTTTAAGATCTCCCTGTTCAGGTTCTTAGCCCATTTTTTTTAGTTGGGTTACTTGATTTCTTGATTCTTTCTTTTTTGAGTTCTTTATATATTCTGGATGTTAAATCTCTGTTAGATATGTTGCTGGTGAAGATTTTCTCCTACTCTGTGGGTTTTCTCTTCAGTTCCTTGGTTGTTTCTTTCAATGTACAGAAGGTTTTTAGTTTAATGAGGTCCACTTGTTGATTCCCAATCTTAATTCCTGAGCAATTGATGTCTGGCTTAGAAAATCCTTTCCTACACCTACATCTGATAAGTTATTGTTAAGGTTCAAGTAGCCCCG